AGGTTCAACACACAGACAATAAATTAGCCTTTAATTTTATTGCTTTTGAATTTCAGCTAAAAACAGTTGATTTTAACACGTCAACGGGCTTGCGTCATCAGCACGGTTGTCACTATCACAATGTGAGGGTCTATATCTCCTTTGTCAATGCCACATTAATTATTTTTTTTAAACTCTAACACATCCCGTTATCTGAGAGGATAGTCCACTGGCAAACAACGTGAACTTCAATGTGATGACGTTTTCATTTTGTTTGTTTGTCTCTCTCATGAGATCCCAAAATGGATTCATCATTTTGTTGTTGAATACGGTATTTTCTGTCTATGTGTAATCCCTTTTGGTCCTGACTGATTTTTTTTTTCGTTTCCATGTGCAGATTCTGGCTCTTCCAAATTCTCTATGGCCTATATTTTATAATGTTTTTAGGATGCTAAATTTGGTTGTTTTTATTAAATATGTATTATTCTATCACGAAATGAGATCTATGGCGCCGTCCATTTATTTTTCCAGTCCCTGCTGTGAACTGGATGGGTACTACGTTAAATTAGTAATTCTAAAAACAGAGAATAGCGTAGACCACATTAATAAGCATCTCAATATAAAAGCCAAAAAAGAAAGCTCTTTGAAACGTAGGCGTAACTGTAGGTATAACCTTCAAACAGTCAATTGAACCATTATATTGCTCGTAGGATCAAATAAGTAATTACAAAAAAATAAAACTCCACTCACTGCATCGTGCGACCCTCTTACTATATGGTCTTACGAAAAATCCAACAACTCCGCTTTCTGTGAGCGCTATACGACACGACGCCGTCTGCTAATTGTCGGTGGCAGTCTGAACGGATCGTCATTAAATACAAGATCGCGTCGTGGCTTTGTGTTCTCCGTAGAATCGTGTCTGCCAACCACCGTCAGGCACAGTAAGCGCTCGGCTTAAGACAATACAGATCAGTCGAAAACATGTTTCCCTGAATTAGAATTTTTACTAAAAAAAAAATCCGGTATGGTGTGCAGTTGTCATTTTATGCCCTTATCCCCCATATCATAAAATAATAGAATCGGGATATACGTCTGTTAATGCAGAGGAAAATAAAAACTGATTATTTTTATCAAAGCAAATAATCTTACATAAAACGTAAGCAGTTCGAATGTAATAGTTTATCAGCTAAACACAGTTTGCGGTAGCTTATTTTTGTTGAGTATTATCTGAAAATTCCGATGTAAGAATAGAAATTTAAGAAAGTATAGAAATTTGTTTTTGGATCTAGAGTCTTTAAATAAAATCACTATTCCACCACCCAACACAGTTAAGTTGAATTCTCATAAACACAATGTAGGCCTACTTGTACTTTTGTAAGTAAACAAGTTTTCGTAATCTCGAAGCTTCGATGAGATTCTAGTGGCCCTAACGGTCGCCAACACAAACTACGACTAATAAATTAGCCCAGTGATTTGAGTGGTCCTAACGGCCGCCCATACAAAAACGGCAGGACTGCATCAATCAGCAGGGTACTCCTCCAAAAAAAAAAAAAAAAAAAAAAAAAAAAAAAAAAAAATTTGAAGAGGGGGATGTAACGATGTTAAAGAACGTCATGTAGAGGGCGCTTGTCGTTGTCAATGACCGCACGTTGAATAAAGATGTTGAAGTTATAGTCCGTGTCAATCTGTTTATTTAATCTGTTCTATCAACGTTAAAAGACGTTACAGAATGTAGGTTGGCCTAGCCTATAACATCCTGGCCCTTTGATTTGTATGGGGTGTCTGCGTCACTGTCTTCTTTAATAACCAGTACTGTTATATATTGTTGGCTATTGCATAAGTTTGTAATGGAAATTGATTTATTTTTATTGTATGTATTGTTAGGTCTAAACCAGATGAAACAGTGACTAGGGCTGTAGAGGACGAGAAAAATTCAGAGCCAGGAGCGGTTGAACAGATTACTGGTGGACCACTACTCCCAGATTCAGATTTGGTAGCTACTGATCAACAAGGACCAGAGTGTAGTAAAACGACAGTGAAGGTGCCTCCTGCAAACCAAGCTAAAGGCTATAATCCTCTGTGGCTACAAAAATACAAACCGAGCACAGGGGCAGACAAACCTTTCGAACCTTACCAGCTGTACGAATGAGAGAACAGACGATAAAGAACACATAACATCTCAGTGCCATTCAGATGCGGTTACATTGCAGGAAGCCAAAGAGATGAGTTGTATTTCGGGCAACATTGAAGCAAAATTATCGACCCCAAAAGAAATGAGAAGAGAAAGCCTGAAATCGGCATTCAAGTGCCTTTATTGGCTCTGTAAATAAGAGATTCCACACACGACCAAATATCCAAAAATTCTAGAACTTTTAGAGGACTTGGGTCTGCCAATACGATCTGATATTAAAGTTGGAAACTCAACAAACTACATGTCTGAACGAACAGTCCAGGAGATTATACATATTCTTGCTGAAGTGATACAAGCGGATATATTAGCAGAATACAGGCAGTCAGACCACAAGAGCATCATGTTGGATGAGACAACAGATGTAACTGTTGTTGAACAGCTTATTATGTATGGTAGGTACCTGACACCTGACAATAAGGTCAAAGATACCTTATTATTGCTGACGTGTTGGGCAACCCCCAGCAACTAGATAATATATCAGTGAATGCACAGAACATATTTATTATTTTCATTAAGTTTCATGCTGACAACAATATCAACATCAAGAAGCTGCGATCGGCAGGAACAGACGGCGCTGCCGTAATGACAGGTAAGAGAAATGGCTTTGTTAGGAGGCTCCAAGATGTCAACCCTACCGTAACAGGAATACACTGCTGTGCACACAGACTAGCCCTTGCTGCAGGGCAAGCTGGCAGACAGATTCCCTATGTGCAACGATTCAAAGACACATTAAGGCAAATATTTGAATTCTATGAAAACTCAGCAGTTCGACTAGCTGGCCTTCGTGCAGTTCAGGGGCTCCTGGATGATCCAAAGGTAAAACCATGCAAGGCTGCAGATGCGAGATGGCTTAGCATAGATAGGTCATGTAACAAGCTCAATATGTGTATCAACAGTGTAATAGTTTCACTGGAACAGGAGTTTGAGGAAAGAAATGATGCCAGGGCTGGAGAGAATGATTAAATCGTACAAGTTTATTGCAACGATGCTGTTGATGTGTGATGTTCTTCCACCAGTCTCTATGCTTTCCAAGGTATGAGCATTTTTTCATTATTTGTTTACTAAACATTTACCAAAGTACACTAGAAAAACACACAAACGCTATCAAACGAATCATGCACAAATTAAACACAAAAACAAGGAAAACAATGCAAATTTGAATTTAATATACTGTACTGCATTTAATCCATAAATTAAGTTATTTTTAGAGTTTATTTATAACTACCATATATTTATATCTAACTATTTGCAAACTTTCATTTAAAGTTATTTCAAGCCAGCTATTGCAGTGTTGGTTCCATACCAAGTATTGTAAGATCTACTACTGTCCGCCTCTATGAACTGATCGAAAACGATGGCCCTAATTTTGAAAAGCTGAAAGAGAAGTTGGAGAGTATGCGTGCTGCAGGTATTGACATAAATCAAGGAAGTCCAGAGAAGTCAGGATACCTTTCCTTAATGCACTCATTGGAAATATCACTGGTAAGCACAAGCTTAAATAATAGCAATGATACTGCTTCTCAGTGTACTGTAATTAAATCAGGTGAAATTATTAAAATCTCACTCAGACTAATGATTTTAATGAATGTTATTCTTATTTTATGATTTTTGATATTACAGATAGATTCCCAGATGATGGCAGATTTTTGGCCCAGTTTTCCATATTTGATCCGCATCTGGTTCCTGATAATGATGAAAAGCTAGCTGAGTATGGCAACGAGGCACTGGAGAACCTTTGTGCTCAATACCCATTCATAGATAAAGAGTCAGCTAAACATGAGTGGGCATTATTTAAGCATAGTATAGTTGATATCAGCAAATTATATACCTCTCAGCCTGATGTCATTCATGATCTACTAACGTGTAGTACTGTGTAATCACCTCCATTACGGGGGTGAGGCACTCTACGACATTTTCCAAACATTAGCTAACTCTGGAGACACTTATGATGCCGCCAAAACAGCGCTCAAAACTTACTTTGAGCCCAAGAAAAACGTACCTTTTGCAATTAACACATTTCGGCAACTACAACAGGGACCTAAGGAGTCCATTGATGCGTTCGTTACCAGGCTACGCCGCGCTGCAAAGCCGTGTTCATTTGTGGACTGTGATAATGAGATTAAGTTGCAAATTATTCAGCATTGTTCTTCTCCAAAACTACGACGGGCAGCTTTGAGGGACCCCACACACACGCTTGATAAAATACTAACATACGCACGTTCGTTGGAAACCTCAGACAGCCATGCAAATGAAATTGAAGGTAAACAACAACAAACACATACTTTGACTAGTAGTAGTAGCACACATAGTAAGCCTGCTCCTACTGCTACAATACCAGCTAGGCCTAAGCCTAAACAGAATAAGGCTTTCCTCCCTAATCATAGGAGGCCCAAGTCAGCTCCCACGGCAGCATACTGTTATAGATGTGGGAAGCAAAATCATTTTGCATGTGTGTGTCGCTCCAAATCTTTCAAACAGAAGAAAGTGGTCCGTGCTATTGCCAGCACTCCACAACCAGCGGATATTCCCAAATTGAAAGGGAAGCGTTGGCCATTGCTTGGTCGTGCCATCACTTTCATTTATTTCTAATTGGCAAACCTTTTCGAGTGTTCACTGATCACAAACCGCTTGTCAGCCTCTTTAATAACTCCAGGTCTAAGCCGTCTTTGCACATTGCCAATTGGCTCCTCCGTTTGCAAACTTTCACATTTACTGTCTGCTACCAAAAAGGTGCAGACAACCCGGCAGACTATATGTCTCGCCATGCTGTGGATGATGGTTGTAACGATAACGTTGTATCCAAAAGTGCCAATGCTTTTGTAAATATGTGTATTGCAACATCGACACCAAATGCCATATCCCTAGCAGAAATTGAGGAGGCTACGAAAAGCGATCACACAATGCAATGCGTCTTTAAATTTTTATCAACTGGCAAATGGGATTTACGGGAGGCTGAAGGTGTTAGTGATGTAGATTTAAGTAATCTCCAACAATTTCAAAATGTAAAGCATGAGTTGACCAGTGTTAATGATAAATTGTTGCTTAGGGGATCTTTGATTGTAGTCCCTAATGCCCTACAAGGTAAAATGGTAGATCTTGCACATGAGGGTCACCAAGGGGAGGCCAAGACAAAGAAACTTCTCAGGTCAAAGGTGTGGTTCCCTAAGCTTGACAAGCTTTGTGAGGTGGTAGTTAAAGAGTGTATTCTATGCCAGGCAGCAACACCTCAGTCAGTGCGTGCACCCCTCAAAATGACTGATCTCCCGAATGGTCCCTGAGAAAACTTAAGCATTGATTTCGGTCATGTAGGTAATGATTATGTTATGGTAATTATTGACGACTATTCACGGTACCCGGTTGTAGAGGTGGTCTTGTCCACCTCTGCTGCTGCTATCATCCCTAACCTAGATAAAGTGTTCGGCATGTTTGGTATTCCTAAAGTGGTAAAGACGGATAACGGTCCGCCCTTTAACAGTGACAACTTTGCTAAATTTGCAAAACATCTCGGTTTTAAACACAGAAAGGTTACCCCACTCTGGCCCGAGGCTAACGGGGAGGTAGAGAGGTTCATGCATACTTTCCGGAAAGTCCTGCTCACCTCCAATCATTGGAAACAGGACATGGTTGCATTTCTCCGCAATTACAGGGCAACCCCTCATTCCACAACTGGCTATGCTCCTGCAACTATACTGCTGGGCAGGGACATTAATGTTAAAATCCCTTCTTTTTCCAAGGGGGGGAGAAATGATGACCTGTTAAGGAAGAATGACCAAAAGAACAAAATTAACATTAAGTTAAATGCAGAGAAAAAGAGAAAAATTAAGGAGAATAAAATCAAAGCAGGGGACATAGTTTTAGTTAAGCAGATTAGAGCTAGCAAGTTTACTTCACCTTTTAATAAAATGCCATTGGTGATAATTGGGAAGAATCATGACATGTTAACTGCTAAGTTTCCCAATGGAAAAACAATTACCCGGAACTACTCCCATTTCAAAAAAATTGACTTGCCCGCCAGAACTAAAATCACCAGCCCTAATGGTATTGATGATGATGGCATTATAGATCAGGACTATGAAGTACCTGGTGTAGTTCCCCCACAACCCCGTAGATCGGGAAGGGTAAGATCACAGGTTGTTGAAATATGTTATTGTTTATGTAGTTTATAGTTGTTTTAGTTGTTTGGGTAAGGTATACATGAGTTTTAAATCCGAAAAGGGGGAGATGTAGTACTGTGTAATTTGCTAATTGGGACAGAAAGTTCCTGGAAACGGTTTTATCATTATGGGATGTAGAGAGGGCACATGTGAGGGGGTACAATAAATGGACAGAGAGATATTAACAGTACTGGTGTATACGAGTCTCATTTATTTGCCATTATATTACATTTACAATTCAACCTCAAGCATCACATAACGGATGAGAAATTAAACATATTTCCACAGTTACATGAACTGGCAAAGGTGTACAGTGTGCTACCAGTTTCATCAACTGATCCAGAAAGGGGATTTTCAACTCTAAAGCGCATAAAGACATGTGTGAGAAACAGGTTGAAAGAGTCAACATTAAATGCTCTTATGATGATATCTACAGTTAGTAAATTTCCTTTTGACAGTGCAGTTGATATCTGGGTACACACTTGTACAGTTATACATTTCATTTATTGTAAGCCTACATTTTTGTCTGCACAGTTTGTAAATTAAGTTTATTCAGGAAATCATCACAAATACTTTAAAACGTACCTGCCTGCTCAGCTGTCCATACTTAATCCAGGAAATTGAGATGCTAGCAATATTATTTATGTTGTAAAAACCAATGATATGGTGCATGATGTTATGAGAAGTGAGCTGTGAGCTTGTATTATTAAATCCATTTATAGAACAGTCTCAGTCTGGTCCTTTTTCACTCCCTTTATTAGTCTTCAAGTGTTAAAAGTAAATTCACAACAACTGTCTAAATACAGCTGAGAATGCACCTGAGAGCATATAGTACCCTAAAGCTTTCGGGGAACCCTTACCGAACCCCACCCGGAAGGGTTGGCGCCTCCCGCTGCGCGCTCGGCAAGCTAACTTACAACTGATTTACCAGTAAAAATTTTTAAATAATTTTTACAATAATTTTTTAGTTTTTAATAGCAACAATGGGTTTGGATTTATTTATTCATGGTAACAAATAGCTTTCTAACAGATAAAAAAAAACTGATAAGGGAGCCTCACAAAATAAAGCAACACGTATACCCGTCTACAACGCGTGGTTGGGATTATAATCTCTTCGCGTTGCCGACGAGTGGTTCAAGATACTGATAAAAAATGTTGGACGATTCCATTTCGCGAATTAGGGTTTGTTTTCCAACGTTTTTGTTCTACTTGTTTGCGTCGGTTTATCTCGTGATTTTGATGTACTGTAATTTATCGACAAGTCTCTTTTATATGTTTTGTCATAAGTTTCGTTCATTATTATGAATTAATTTTAATACTATATCCTGTCATTTGTTATTGAGCTATTCTGTAAAATTTAAAACCGAAATGTCGAATACCAAGACTCGAAACCCACTGAAATTTCCTATACACTTTTCTACTGTATTATAATCAGGCCAAACTCATGTTTTTGCCATGAATTTGACGGGATAAATGCAATTTAATGCCAGTATATTGCTTTTTCTAGAACTATTCATAGGAACATTCCCACGCTCTGCTGCTATGGAAATACAGACTTAATCAAAGTGTACGTGTCATTGATCTTGCTGCCGGATGAGTTATGCATAGCTCAAACCCTTTGTACGCCGCCAAGTGTTATAACCAGGCCACACTCATGTTGTTGCCATGAGCATGGAGGAATAAATTCGTAGTGACAGGATAAACGCAATTTAATGCCAGTACCTGCTTCTTCTAGAACTATTTATAGGAACAGTCCCACGGTTCTGCTGCTATGGAAATTGACTATTAAAAGGTGGTACAACAGTAAGAATCTGCAGCCTAAGAAAATCAACCAATCAGAAGCTGCCTTACATACAGCTTGGCTTTGGCCTAGCTTTCCTGCTTTATTCCATGGTGAAACACATTTTATAAAGTGACCTGTCAAAAATTATTAATTTCTCGAAAATTTGTGAAGCAAATCTGTTGAAACTTTTTGTGAGTATTGATTGAACATCAGAGAATAATCATTTAGTAGTGAATATGGGTGATAAGAAGAGGTCTGGGCGTAAGAGACGTAGAAAATTCTACTCAAACCAGCACAATGCTAGGCCAGCTGTTGACTATGTACACAACAAGCAGTTACCCAGTCAAGCTGAACCAGGGGAGACAAGTTCACCTAGGTCTATATAAGCTCAGAAATTAGGGCCTAGAGAAATTGGACATATTGACCCTCAGAATTTTAATGATGGTTTCATACTGATGGACCTAAGTATATTGTTCTCATTTATGAAAGACAATATTCGATGCTTATTGCAAATCAGATGTTGAGTGTACACTCGCTCTTGATAACAGGCGAGGATTTTACAACGAAATATATATTCATTGTTGAGCACCTAGATGCGAGTGGAGTCAGGTACTCAAAACATCAGATGAATTGGATCATGATGGTAGAGGAAGGAGAACGAAGGATGAATATTCGGATGACATCGTTCGTACGATCGCTTGGAAAGGGCCACAGCGCTTTTGACAACTTTTGTTTACACATGAATCACCCAGGACCAGTAATGAGAGGCACGTACAAGTCCAACTTTACCAGGTTGTTTGCTGCCAATACGATTGTTGTAAATAAAAGCATGAAAAAGGCTGCTGATGAGTTGAAAAGTGACGCAGATATTTCCGGCAGTGTTGATTGCAAAGCGTCATTCGATGGAACATGGCAGCGCCGCGGGCATTCCAGTCATCATGGCATTGTCACAGCAATTTTGGCAGACACTGGAAAATGTGCCGATGCAGAAGTGCTTAGTAACATTTGCAAGTCTTGTAAAAGCTGGGAGAACAAGGATTCAAATAGCGATGAATACCAGAGGTGGAAGCTAAAGCACAAGTGTAAAATGAATCATACAGGTTCGGCATGTTCAATAAGGTTTATCGCGAATCGGTAAATCCGCAAGAGGGCGCAGTCCGCGCAAGGCATTGTGGGAATGAAAAAGGGGCAAACACAAAAACACGGAAGAGATACTTTGTACTTTCTTTTCTATTGTTTTTAGTTAACGATGGCTCAGGCGAGAGAAATTCGGCGTTTTTTGACATGGAAATCTGCCGATTTGAAAACTTTTTTGAGAGAAAGGAATGTTCCTGTCGGAGATGAGAAGCACCATGAACTGTGTGAAAAAGCTTTTTGGGCTGAAAAGCTAGGTTTAGCAGTCAAACCAACCGACGAAGAAGCAGAGAGGCAGATACAACGGTCTAGAAGTGAGAAGTTGGTACTTGATGGTGGCATAATCCGTTTACCACGACCAGAAACCCTTGTGAATGGCTGGGAAGATGGACCATCTAGCCTCCCGGAGACTTCTAGAGATCATCTAGATAGCTACATAAAAGCTGGTAAGTTTGTTGATTTTTTTTCATACTGCCTAGACTAGACTAGGCTAGGCCTAGCTAGTACTAGTGGTGTAGCTAGTAGTAGAGTAACTTGTGATGATTTTGTGCCCTGTCTGTGGGTTATGTTATGGCAGTTAGGCCTAGGCCTAGTGAATTTTAGCCTAAAGTAGTAAGTAATAATGAATGCAGTAAGATGCATGGAAAACCTTTTTGGGTACATGACACAGATTGAATTAAAAGTAAATATAAATACTTTTCACACCTACTACACTAGGCTAAACCCGTTTTCTTTTCTGTTTAAATAAAAATAGGAAACCGGAGGATTGGTTTGGAAAAGACCGAAGGAAGGAGGACACTTGGTCTTGGAAAAGGACTGTTTATGTCCGGTCATGTTAGAGCCCTGCAATACCATGGCATCAGTATGAACATCAGCTACTGCTTTGTCAGAGGAAAGGTTAGTTCTATAAATTTGCTATCTATAAAAGTGCAAAATGATATATTAATAAAATATGGTCACTCGCCAGTGTTGAGATTGTGTGTTGGTACATCAAAATTTCAACTGGTGTTTTTTTTCATACATCACCAACTTATTTTGAATTTTTTTTTTTTTTTTTTTTGACAGGTAGTGAAGCAACAGAAAACAACCGAGTCACCTTACAATACATGGATCGTTCTGCATAAAGAAACAGGACAAGTTTGTACAGCTGAATGTTCATGCATTGTCGGGTAAGTACATTTAACTTGCTCTTAATTTATGAAATTTAACATGAAAGCAGAACACATTGACTTGACAAAGCGTAAATAAACACAAAATAGGGTAATGACTTGTACAAAACATGGAAATTTATAATTGAAAATTGCCACTTAAAAATTAAATACCTTTTATCACTTCTTTTTTTTTTCAGAATACAGGCTACTTGCAAACATGTGGCAGGTCTTCTGTTTGCAGTTGTGGAGGCAGTAGAGAAAGGGCGAAACATGACTTGCACTTCGCAAAAACAAGCATGGGGTGCAGTGCCAAAGAAGGGGAAAGCTTTGCATGAACCACAGTTTGTTAGAAACATCAAGGTGGTAGGAATCCGAGAGGATGTATCAAAGCAGACCGTAGAGAATACCCGTAGGTACCGTTCAACCTTTGACCCACGTTTGCCTATTCATCGTGTTGGAAATGCCATTAACGAATTTAATCTGGATTGGTTGGCAAGCATCACAAATGGGAACTGTGGTATTTTGTCACACGCAAAACGCGAACCTAATGTAAACGCTCAATTGCCGGATCTTAGCAAGTGTTTAAGCAATGAAACTGTTGAAACAACTGTGCCTGTACCAACTGTTCTGGAAGTATATGATAGGTTAACCAAATTAAAGGAACATGTTTCAGCGAATTCAATGCTGGATATGCTTAAGATAAGTCAACACCAGCAACAGGTGTTGGTAAAAGGGACACTGAACCAAGCATCATCTACTTTGTGGCGAGAGCAAAGAAAGGGGAGAATCACATCAAGTGTTGCAGGCTCAAACTGTAGCAAGTACACATGCAGAATACCCGTGTGGTGTGTGTGGTGATGTTTGCTTAGACAAACCAAATGATGCAGATTACAACAGTATTTGTTGCGACAATTGTGACAGGTGGTTTCACTATGTTTGTGGCGGGATTGAAGGACATGAAAAATTTTTGAAAAAGAGGAAGTTGTCCTGGAAATGTGATGGGTGTAAACCAAAAAAGAAAGCCAGGAGGAGTAAAAAGAACACTTCAAACTAATAATCTTTTGCAGGAATTAATACAGACTGTGATAGATCTACATTTAAATTATTGTTCGACAACAATTCATTTAAAAACTGCCTTGCTTGATTTACAGTACTGTGGTCTCTGTACTTAATGTAATTCCAATATATAGATTGTGATTTCTTTTTGTGCTAGTTTGCAGTTTTACATACAATAGCTTGCTCTGATAGTTTAATTTAATGTCACAGTAATATATAACATGAGATCGAAAATGATATACAAATATAATAAACTAATTCATGTTTTATTAATATACACAATAACAAAACAAATACTTATTTTTTTAAAGTACTGTTATTAGGATGAAAAACTAATCAAACTTTTCTTCATGTTCACCACCTGGTAGACAAAATTATTGACTCTCATTTAGCATAATTAATTTTTATTTTTCTTGTTACATTTGTATAAATTACTGTATATATATTTTGTGTTATATCATATTTGAATGTTATTTTTATATAGAATTTAAGGAAGAAATATTAGTTTTATGTTGGCAAAATAACTTTTTGAACAAAGTAAATGAAAAAAAAAAATCATATCCATTTTTACAAGACTTATTTCTTTGATTCTGAAGTTATATATTGTATTTGATAATGCCAATTCTTAAAACCGTCCAATGTAAATTATGACGACAAAGGGACTAAAACAGGTTGCAGGTTAACAATAGCCGCACTTATTACAAGGGCACCCTCCATAAGGTCTATCATGGTCAGGGGAACGGGACCCTGCATAATTTGAAATTCTTTCAGTCTTCCTATTGCCCTTTCCACATGTATCCTGGCATTAGCCACAGTCTTTGTTTTAGTGTCCTCTGTTATTGTAAATTGATTCGTACTCTTAGTTGTTCGTTGAAATGGTGGTATAATAAGTTTGACCTGCTTGCGTAACAGTAGTTCTTGAATATTAAAACCGCGATCGGCCATACAGATATCTCCTGGTTCAAACTTATCCACTATGTTAGTTTTCTGTACAATTTTCTTATCAGAGGTGTTTCCTCCTACCGGTTCAGAAATGTATGAGATCGCTCCACTTGGTGTTATACCAACTAGGCACTTGACAGTGGGTCTAGATTTGTACTGGCTGTACACTTGCGTGTTGGAAGCAGCCAAAGACGGTCGTTCAATTTGTATTTCAGTGCAGTCAATAATGCACTTAACTGTACCTTTATACTTGTGAAAGCATGCAGGATAGTACTTCAGGGTTTCGTCTTTGCTGGGCCAGTGAATGAATGCGGCTAGCTCCTTTGCTAGAAATGGAATCCAAGTAGACAAAACCTGAGAAACTGTGCTTTGTACTAAACCAAATCGAAATGCCAGGTCATCTTCACGGAGATTTAGCCTAAGCTTCATCAGCGTCATGAGCATTTGGTCCTCCAGAGACTGTGATCGCTTGACTCCAGGTTTAGTTGTGTTGTTCGTCTGCCAGGTCTTATCTTCTGATGACAATTTGCCTTTGTAGTAGTGAAGGTTCTGTGCATGAGGAGACACTTCTGCAAATACCCACTGAAAAATTTCATAGCTCGTCAAGCCTGTATAAAGTTTTACTAGTTCATTACTGTGTGCTATATCTGAAACAGTAAGCTTCTTAGTACAAGCAGCAAGAGCAGCTTTTAATTTTTTGACATGTTCTGTGGCTTCCAGATAATCAGTCATCAGTTTATTTATTTTTTCTGTCAATTTACTAAGTTCATCCTCCAGATGTGCAACCCACTCTGAATTATATGTCTTCTTTTTGAATGCTGGATGGCAATACTCATGGTCATTAGAACTTTGTCGGGAGTCAGTCAGATCAACTTGAATTCCAATTGTTCGAAAACGATGTACAGCTGTGCGCTTTGGTCTTGCTCTTGGTGTTGATGTAGCAGACTGTTCTTTTGGTGGTGCTCGAAGTGGCGTCTTTGGGGTGCAATTGTAACCCTTCATAAACAGGGTTGGATGTGGTGAGTCATTAAACGGCTGGCCACTAGCAAAGTGGTTGCTGCATACAACCGTTGTTTTTGTTGCTTTAAATCCACCACCTCGATTTATGAGACGGGTCCATGTAGGACAATGTTGTTCCTTGCAACGATGGAAGCGAAGTTTGTCAACATGCTCCTTTATAACATACCTTTAAAAAAAATGTAATTATCATTTGGATGATTGTTTTACTTAATAAACAAATTTTACATTACATACATCATATTTATAGACAATGGTATTACAAAAACATGCTTATAAGTCACAGCGATAATAATATAATAATAATAAATAATAATAAACCATTAATAAATAATTATTAATAGGTTAATATTTGTGAAAACAGTAGTAGCGCGTCCCCTCCATGCAGCAGAGAGAATTTCCTTAACAGTACACGCTGAACATAGCTGTCATACATATCATAAGAAGCTCCCTTCAATTCAACAGACCGTGATTTTTAGCAAGTATGTTATCGAGAAAAAAAAAGAATTTCTACCTTTCAGGGTATCTCCGATCATTATCACATCCCCAAACTGCATAGTGGTCGCTAGAGTGGCGGCGCTATTGCCCCTTTTTCTATCCCATGACGCATTGCGGTTTAGATTCGCGATAAACCTTATGGAGTCGGTCGGTGCAGTTCGATTGTTTTTGAGGTCAGAGCAAATGCTTGGACTGCGGTACACCGAGTACTTAGGTGATGGGGATACTGCTTCTTTCGCTAAAGTTGTAGAAGCTAAACCATATGGCCCCAATGTTGAAATTCAGAAGTTAGAGTGCGTCGGACACGTGCAAAAACGTGTTGGTACACGTTTGCGCCGGCTAAAAAACGACAATAAAGGAAAGAAATTTTCAGATGGAAAAGGACTTGGCGGTGCAAAGCGATTAACAGACAAGGGTATTGACACTCTGCAGAACTTTTATGGCTTTGCAATCAGGCAAAATGCTGGTGACCTACCGTCTATGATTGCTGCAGTAAAGGCTGTGCTCCCGCACTTTGCATCGACCGATAGCATCCCGATGCATAATAACTGTCCAAAAGGAGACAACACTTGGTGTGAATACAACAAAAATCCATCTAGCTATAAACACAAACATGGACTGCCAGTAGAAATTATGAAATTTATTGAACCAGTATTTAATGATCTTGCAGATGAAAAACTGCTAAAACGATGCCTTCACAGGAAAACCCAAAACAACAATGAGTGTTTGAACATGCTTATTTGGGAGAGATGTAGCAATGATGTGTATGAACGCAGATTGTAAGCGAATTGAACAATCAGCCAGAAAGTCTTCGGATAAAGTAAAAAAGCGAAGAAAACAACTTAGAGCAATAAAAAAAGGGTTTGGTGATAGAGCAAAACAAACTGAAGGGGACTTGTATAATGCTGGGGGGCACTGAATGTAAATATGCTGTAAAAAAAGAGTGAAACTATGTTGTTATGAATAGGATTTGGACCAATTTTTTTCAAACTGCGTTTTCTCAAAACCTATTTTTTAACGGACGTGCTAGCTTTTGAACATTGTATCTCTGGAAATATTTGTCCAATTGTCATCAAATCTGGCCTGAGTTTTCTTCACATATTATAAGTTGTCCTAAGCATAAAAAAAGTTCCTGTTTAAGAATGACATAAAAAATATAACTGATGAATATATAATGAGTTTGGTAATTTTTCATAATTTTATAAATATTAATTTTAATTAATTACAATAGTGGTATGCATAACTGTTTTAGGCTTAAATCATGTAATATAGTGTATATAATATGTGTACAAAGTTTCATTAAGTTTGGATTATCCATTGCAGAGATATTGTGTTTTAAAAAGTTTTTAAGATTTGACCTTTTATCATTGACCTTTGACCTCTCGAACGTGAGGTCAAAAAATGTTATTGTTTTCGATATATTTTCTTGATATCTTTCAAATAAAATCAAGAAACATTATTTTAGTCCATTATTTATTATTTCATATTCTTACTGTTGTACCACCGGGTCATTGATCTTGCTGCGTGCCGAGTTATGCATAGCCGTACCCTTTGTACGGCGCCCAGTGATAACGACTCCACGTTACCATGGAAAAGCATAGAATAAACTAAGAAAATATCAGTCTCTGAATTTTTGTGTGCAATTAAATCTTGTATTTATTATTTTCTTTAAGTCTCATTTTCAATTATATTTTATATTTGTTATATATATTTGAAAATGTATTTGGTACGATACAAATAAATTAATTACAATAAAGACAACAAGGAAGTGACAAACAGAAATTAAAAATCAAACAAGAACAGCTCATTCAGTAGAACATAAATTAAAGTTAATTAGCGTAAACAGTTTATTACATGAACATAGGCCTAATTAGTGATCAAGATCTACTGTGTGTGTGCAGTCGCTTGTATATGCTTGTATGATAATCTGATCTAAACATAATACATTTATTTTAGTGGTTTTTTTTTTCTTTTTATTTTCATTTCAGCAATAATTTAGGCCAAAAAATGGCTACCATATCCGAAAACGCCATTCCTCTACACCCAGGCCCAATGTCTGTTTTCAAAATGTCCTACAGAGAATTAATGAAAATAAATGGGAAGAAATAATGCCACCCTAGCTTAGCATACTGCACTAAATTCTGATATTCATCGTATATGTTGAGTATTTATTGGCGGTCACTGCACTTTATTATGAATAGGACTACAAATAGTAGGCCTATTGTACACTTATTTTTGATATAGGCCTACCATAATATATTTTAAATGCAAGGTTATTCCCAACTATTATATCGGAACAAATTATAGACAATTCTTATACACATCTAGATGTGTATAAGAGACAGGGATAGAAAAAAGCAATTTAAAGAATGAAATAATGATAATATGTTAAGAGATCGTAATTCAGTAAATATCCCATAGCCCATTGAGTACAGGACCAGAGTCAAGCGTCTAACTTTTACTTTGATAGAACATAGAGTATGTCAAAACCACAGACCCTAAACTTCCAGCCGGCGATGCAGTACACTGCAAGGAAGACGTTCCAAGTCCACTTGATACGCCGAGGCGTATCAACAATTGAAAACTACTTTTATACATTACCAGTGCGTTTTATAAATGAAATTAAAATCCCTGTAGTAAAATAACATAGTCATTTGGTACATTCAAGCGTTTAAAAACGATTTAATGATTATACACTGTCTCTTATACACATCTAGATGTGTATAAGAGACAGGTTTGATGGTAATACGGTACAGTGTAACTGCCCTATAATAAGGGGTGAAAGCAATACATTGAACAGCAATCTAGAGAAAACACGGAGAAAACAATATTTTACAGTATACAATACAATACCTTTTTTAAAGAGCCTGATAATCATATATAATAAATATATTCTTTTACAATAAACTTCAAGATTAATCAACATTGAAATAGAATAGTAAAACAAAGGTGTAATAGTTGGAACATGTGCCGACTGTTTAAAGTACATAAGATCATGTGAATCACATATTTCTTGTAAATGTTGCTCATTAGATTTTCATGTAAATTGTGTAATTAAGGATAAACATAACTTTGGCAATTGGTGGTGTTACTCCTGCTTTATAAAAAATGCTGTATCTGAATTACTTAAAATTACTCATCTAAATGTTCAAAGCCTGCGAAACAAAGTTGATCAAATTACTGTACTCTTAGATAAAAATAACATTGATATACTATGCTTAACTGAAAGTTGGCTTGATGAGAATATTAATAATACAGAGCTTACTATAAATGGGTATAATATTTGCAGACTTGATAGGAAAAACAAAATAGGAGGTGGAATTTTGTGCTATATTAAAGATAGTATTGCACATAAAATAGTAACAAGTAACATTTCTGAAAATGTTGAAAGTCTATGGATTGAAATGTCTTTACCACATACAAAGCCTTTTCTTGTTGGAACAGTTTATAGGCCCCCAAGTGCCAACATAGACTACATAACAGACATTGATAATTTATTCCAATACTATACATATGAATATGATGAAGTAATTGTACTAGGAGATTTCAACCTTGATATTTCCAAAAAGGTAAATCAAACTAAAATTAAGAACTTAGAAAATCATAGTAACTTAAAGCAACTAATTAATGAGAGTACGAGAATCACTGATTCAAGTAAAACAATATTAGATCTTATTTTTGTTTCAAATCCCAAGAAGTATTCTGAATCAGGAGTTTATAGTCTTGGAATAAGTGACCATTCATTAATTTACTTACTTCGCAAATCTAAGAAAATAAAAGGTCAACCAAAAACAATAAATTCTAGGTCTTTTAAATTTTTTAATGAGAATGATTTTATTGACACTGTTAAAAAACAAGATTGGAATTTAGTCATGGAATGTTGTGATGCTGTCTCTTATACACATCTAGATGTGTATAAGAGACAGGGTCTCTCCATACTATTTGAGACATGAAAATTATGGTTAAGCGTAACATCCCAATACGCAAATTAACTCTAACACAGCCTAACTTCAAGGGGGCTGCCGTCAACTGCCTTAGCCGCTGTCTC